GAGGGTTTGGCAGGCTTGGGTGGTAGTTGGCTGGTCTGTGGGGGTGGGGAGGGGGGATTGTTCATCTGGATGTGCAGGGAGAAGGCTAAACATAGCCTGTTGCTAGAGGAATTAGGAAAATTGCAGTCCCAGGTCTGAGGCTAGCAGCTGGGCTTTCCCAGCCCTGAGGTTGTGCTCAGAATATATATAGAACTTCACTTAGATTGGTCTGCCCCTACACAATTCAACTCAGTGCACCCCTGCAACACAGTTCAATTAGATTGGGTTGGCCATTCATTGACCAATCCATGGGCGACTGGTGCCACCTTAGCCAGGGGGGGCACATGCCCCCCCAGCAACCAGTCAGTGACTCAAGCCCACTGACTGGGGTGGGGTGTGCCCCACAGCAAAATTTATCAACCAGTGAGCAGCTGTCTGCTCGTGGAAGTGGCTGCAGTGCTCCCAGAAGTGGCCGTGACGCTTCTGGAAGTGGCCGCGGCCTATATCTGGTGCTCCCACACCCCGGCCGGCACTCACAGGGTGGGCACCAGCACTCCCACCTGACCCCCCTCCCCATCACCTAAGCGGGGAGTGCGGTTGGCCAGGGGGTGCATATGCACCCCCGTGCACACCCTACACTTCGCCACTGGACTAATCTAACCTTCCTGAAACTTCTGTACAGTTGACAATTAGATAAACCTAACTAGGGAACTAATTGTAAGAAGATCCACACCCTAGACAACTAATGTAGACCAGGTGGCCATTTTAATGTGATTTAACTTCCCCCCAGCCTCCCCAAATGTCTGTATATGCCCTTAGTAAAGTAATGAAGATTTGCTTGGACAAATGTGAATCTAATTCCCCTACTACTTCATTACATATTAGAGGTTAAAACTGCTGGATGTCTAAAAATGTCTAGCGAAAAATGCATTCTATCCAGTAGTGGTAGCAAAGTAACAGTTTTTTTTAAAGGATTTGCTGAGAGCATTTTAAGGCTTCTACTTATAGCAAAAGATGATAAGAGAAGGATCACTCCATGAATTCATTTGCATGGAGCTCTTTTCAATTGTTCTGTCATTGGGCTGGAAGGAGAAATTACTTGTATAGAAACTCCACAGACCTGGCATCCATTTCTTCTGGTAGTGTGGTTTGAGTGGAGCAAAGCTGCCAACCACTTTCTCAGGCCACCAGTCCCCTCGCACACCTTCATACACTGTATTCTTAACCATGGCAAAGCTAACAATTTCACAGACAGTATTCATTTTTCTTTTTCCTCAGATAGTCTCCAGAGGAGCTGGGAACTGACCTGCTGTTCCTTGATGCCCATCCCACAATGCAGGGACATCCCCTTCATCCCCAAAAAGCAGGACTCAGCTTCAGAAATGCTGCTGACTTGCCTTTCCATGCAAAGCAGTGAAGAACTTGGCAGAGAAGGTACCTTCCACCGGTGGCTAGTGAGGAAACAATCCTACTCTTATGCATTTAATAATTCATATTAAGCAATTCACAGGCACTGTTACTGACACACTGGAAAAGTTCTTGGAATAAGAAATAGGCACTCCATTTTTCAAGGAACCTGGTACAAAGAAACCTCAACCTCCAAAACTTCAATCACAGTTTGGAGCCTCCCAAGAAGCTCTTGTCAGTTTTAAGTATTGCATAAACCTCTGTGCATTTCAAACACTGCCGTCAATGCAACTTATCTCAGGTGTGATTGTGTTCAGGCTCAGAACTAACTCTGCATGCCTCACTACTCACAGGTAGCAAAGAACTGGGCCCTAGGGGAGACACAGAAATAGGCTCACAAAATGAATCTCTTTCTAAATGACAAGCCAAGGGACAAAAAACTTCGTAAGGGAGAAAAATATAAACTGCTTCACTGGGATCTTGGCTAATGAAAATAATGACAGGCACATAGATAAAAACAGGACTTAAAATGAAAGGAAGGTAAGACTGCCAAAGATTTAGAAGAAAAAATGATCAACGTGAAAGAATGCAAAGTAAATAGAAGTTGTAAGTTAGTTGTTAGTTTTGACAATATGTTTGTTTGTTTGTTTTTTATCTAGGTCAGTGGATCTCAACCTCTTTGGACCCAAAGCACTGCTTACTGGACTCAAGGCACCTCTCCCATAACTTTTGTGAACTTTGTGGCACCCAATTCCAAAAATTAATTGGACTATAGTGCTTACATCTTTGCAGAGGGGCCAGGCAGTGGGGATGAGGGACTGGCTAGACAGGTACATGCCTGTGCTTATCTCCTCACATGTTGCTTACCTCACAGCACCCTTCAAAGGATCTGGCCATGCCCTGGTTGAGAAGTACTTATTTAAATAAAGAGCCAAGTATCATTTTTACATGTGACAAAATGGAAAATTGTTAGAATTGTCCAAGATTTTTCAGGTTTTGATCATAAATCTTTATGTATAGTATTGAAACTACTGATACTAACCTTTATCTAATTAATACTACTACTCTATAATTTCACCCTGTGGATTATAGCCAATACTGAGATAATGGGAATGGCAATGGCAATGGCATATAAACAGCAATTTAATGGTAATCTACTCAATGGTGATTTACTAAAGAGCAATATCTCCACTTCCCCCACCTCGCCAAATCATGACAATCAAGTTCCAAATGCCAAATGACTACTTTATGCAAGTCATTTTCCTGAAAGAAATAGGTTTATTCATATGCTTAAAGTAAGAAAGATTGATCCAACATTAGATAAAACTATTGTAGTAATTAAAGTTGAACAAACCTTTCCCAATATATGTATACAAATTCAGCTTTGCTATTTAGCAAAACAAGCAAACAAGGAAACAAACAAAATCTCTCTAACATTACAGGATGCATCTGCTTCGCTCTCCTTTCAGAAATCTGTTTTTTAATGATGTATAGCAATGTTCAGAGTGAAAACAAGGAGGTTTTTTTGTTTCATTTTCTTGTCACTTACAGTTAGGTAACTTATGTGGCAAGAATACTATGTACAGAAAGCTTCGGGTTATAGAAAAGCCCAGAGTAAGGCCAAGATTTCGAAGGACTATAGAACTGTAGTACTTAGAGATGAATTTAATTCGGTAATGTGACCTTTCATCCTGTAAAGCTTTTAAACACCCATAGTTCTTATTTAGCAATTAATGCTACTGATTTCAATAGTGCTATTCAAATAACAATCGTTTACATAAGGAAGGATACTCAGAGCTGGCCTTCTTGATGCACTACGTACAGTATAATGCCTTAATATAAATAGAGATACATAATTACTGTTAGGGTATGGGGTAGATCTGTTATAGTGCTCATTTAAGATTGCCCCAGGAAAGTAACTGTGTTGGCACACAGAATGGCACAATTCCCTCTTGCTGTTGCACATGCACACTAGCAGTAATTGTTATGGCTTCTCTATCACTGCTGAATATGAATAGCACATTTTGAAGGTCAGAACCCATCCTCTGCTCTCTTCCCACCTGCTTGTGATGAAGGAATGATGGCCAACTCTTGCCCATGTAACCCTTTGTAACTGGACCTACAGGCCAAGGGAAGCAATGCAAAACTATAGTGGAAGATCGTGCAGTCCATTCTAGCCAGGACTGGTTATATAACTCCAAATGTACCCCACAGTTTCTATACAAAATGGCATCATTTCCCCCTCCTATCATTATTCTTTTTTATTGTTTCTATTTGCTATTTTTTTCTATTTCTTTCTATGCATTGAATGCCTTATTTGCATTTTTAAGTAGCTTGGACACAGGATTCCAATTAGTTTTTCCAGCAAATATAAATAAACCTTTCATTATCAAAAAGCAATCCTTGAAACAGAAGCCAAGCATGCTGGCAAGGCTTCAGTTTATTATGGCTCAACATGAGATTTGAGCCAAGGCCAAATGATTCATTTGGCACCTGATCCATTTGACCTCCTTGCTTAACAGTCAACTCTTGTTTTGAACAATTTCTTTATCCTAAATTCCCATTCAGAACTCCTGAATGAAATGCAGGATTATCCTCATAAAAGGATATGAACTAACGGGAATTTAAAGACATTTCTTCCAAGTCCTGCATGCTCTTTTTGTTTTCTTCAAAGATGTTTGTTAAGCAACAACTAGGTGTTATTTAATGGGCCTTATCTGCAAGAAATGAGGAGTTTTAAATGGAGAGCAAGTTAAAATATAGGAAAGGACTGAACTCTCAGTTCTAGGATGCTCACCAAGATATAGTTCAGGACCACAAAGTTACTTCACAAAGCTATCACTTATGCCATGAAGTTGTTTGCCTGAACAGAAGGTGCAGTATCAGCCCATTAAAATGTATAACCAGATTGTTCACATTTGGGTGTCTGGCCTTGGATGCAGGCTGATCAGAGTTGCTCTGTCTCAAAAGGCAGCTCTGAAAACCAAATTCTCATTTACCCTAAAGTGTCTTTCCAGTGTTCTGGGAATGTATATGCTATGTCAATAAAACTGAGGCTCCCATCTGAAGTATAGCATCTTTTTGTTCCCTTCCCCTTCCTAGTGTATCCACATGAGGGCCAAGCCGAATCCAAATTGAATGTAAAAAAATATATATTATTTTTATAAATGAAAAATAAGTGGATGCACAGGCAGAGATATTCTGCAGAGAGAGAAAAAAACATAATCTAGCGCCTGAGGCTCTGCAACCCAGTTCCAAATTTTGATCATGACCTTGAAGAAATCCCTTAGGATCATACTTTATAGGTGTTTAAGCACCTAATGATGTAGATGGCATCTAATGGGATTTTAGATGGGGTCTAGGTTGCCTTGAAATCACCTACATACCTGTTACAATCTAGTCCCTATCCTCACTCTACTTTAGTTCTCCACCTGTAAAATAGGGATAACAACAATCCCTGCAGTGGTGAAAATAATAAAGACATCGAGGTACTCACATACTATGGCAGGGGTAGGGAGATAATCTGTACGCCCAAGCTTAGCTGGAATGCTATAGTTTATATTATGTCTAGCTTTAGACTAATAACGCAAGGGATCTTTTCCCTTTGTTATTACCTGTTTGAGACAAAAGTGGTGTATAAGGGACTTTCGGTTCTATTGCACTCATTGGTGGAGGTAGCAAGGGGTTGGCAAAGCTGCGGAGCGGGTGTGTAGGCCGGACACAGGCTGTAGGGATCGTTCTGCTGGGGGCGTCCTCAGTGCTGGGATGTTCAGGCTGTGTCTGTGGCAGCATGGATGGCTGTTGGGAGGCTGGTCCTTCATTCACCGCTGTAGAAGAATTTTAAAAGAGAACATTAATTAAGATACCTTTTTCCAAATCCTACTTCCTACCTTTTTTCATTGCTTCCCCAAGAAAGGAAAGCGCCAAGATGTCAACCTCTACGGAGCTGCAAGAAACACATATGTATTTCTTTCAAATGTTACTGGGAGATATATTAAACACCAGGTACTCCCGAAAGCAGCCACGTACTATAGCACTGTAATATATTTTCCTTTAAAAAACATAGAAAGTGACATTTTTACCTCCTTATCTCTATTTTATTTATACATAAACTTCCTAGGTTCCCACTGCCGTACAATCTGGGTGCTTTTAAATATTAAAAATCAACAAAAACATAAATACATCATTGGGATAGTGGAACAAACTCTTGCTGCTGGAATTCATTATGTTCCACCCCACAGTACTATCCTAGTCATATCTGATGAGACTTGCTGAAGACAAAGAAGGGACTTAATTAATTTCTATTTAACCAACAACCAGTATCATTTTTCCTTGAGACAGCTGTAATATCCAGTGTGCCAAAGCAGTCAGTTGCTGTTTTATTATCCTATATCCAAAGTCAATTTTTCTGTGATTTAAACATGGCATGTTAACCCTCCAATATAAATCAAGGTTACTCTATGTTCTGTAGTATTTTGCACAAAAGCTCTCAATAATAACCCCTGTCATGAACTTTCCATGCCAAAAAAGAGAGACAAAACTAGCAAATGTACTGTGAAAGAAAAAAGAACTAAGAGTAAAAGATATCCGAGGATAAAATAATATCATGTTCTGCAGCGAGGTAGCCAAACTGCTAATTCCAGTGTGACTATGATTGCTTAGCAGTTTTCATCACAGTCACCAATTCACAGTGGGATTTATTACTGACGACATGAACAGTATTGCAAAAGGCTCTGCAGGAAAGATGGCTCAGCGCTGTTTTCACTGAAAAAGATGGTACACAACTGTGCTATGGGCTAAGTCCACAACACAAAGTTGTCTGACCAGACATGTTGGTTAAGGTAAAAGGCAGGCAAAGATCCAGGGGGGTATAATGGTGCACTTGCAACCCCTTTTATTCCTGCTTCACCCAAGTTCACAATCAACTCCCTGGCAGCAGCATTTATGTTCAGGCAGCAACGAGGGACCCAACTGACTTCAAGGCTCATCAGAATCTTCCTTATTTCTCCTAAACTCTTCATTCTGCATGTGTTAATACCCTGCTTTTCTTTTCAGTGGTCTTGTTGTTCCACTTATCAAGTTAGGCTTTCTTCTGCAATTCTGCTGTCTGTTAGCTGTTCCTGGTAATGTAGCTCCTATTTCATCCCCATTTTCAAAATCCTAGATCCACCCATGGTAAAAGGTGATTTCTCATGTAACTCTCATCCATGGATTGCAAAGGTTAAGCAGAGATGGGGAGAGCTATTGTAAGACCAGGAAAACTAGACAGAGAGAGCTGGGTTGAACTATGGCTGCCAGATTGATTTGAGGGCTAGCAGGAGGGAAAGGGGGAAAGAAGAGCTCAAAAGGGGGAGCCATTTTTGCCCCGAGCCAGGGAGCAGGGGAGAAGCCTTGCCCCTTGATGTGCTCCATGTACCATCACAAGAGCCCCAGGAAGACTGTGGAGGAGGAGCCTGGTCTAAGTGCAGATGGGAGAAGGATTGACTTTTCCACGGGAAGACCTCAGCAGGGAGAAGAACTAGCTGCTGAGACACAACTATGGCCTGAGTGAGCTGCCTTTAAAAGGCTGCAGAAATGAATGCAGTCAGTATGATTGTGGAGCAGTGAAAGTCCTTGTGCCGTCCGAGACAGCTGGGCTGTGCACAAGGGGAAGGGTCTTTGTGGGACTGTTGGAGTCAGCATTTTAAGTTGTACTGTTGAGAGGGGGCATTTTGTTATCAGGGTTTCACATTGGGTTACAGCTTGCTGTTTGGGTGCTCGTGTGTGTAAATAAATCAAACTTGTTTGCACCCTCCAGTTAAACTGAGATACTCTTGGGGAAACTAAGTCACCACAGCCCCTTGCAAGAGGGGTTACACTCAAAAGAAGGCATCTGACTTGGAATTCTGGACTATCAACCTCCAGCTAGCTGTGTGGATGGTGGAGGCTGCAGGAAAGAAAAGCCTGGGAAGTTAGTCTGCAGGCAGGTGGCTAAAATGTGCATCTACTCCATGAAGAGATTGTGACCAGTAGATCAATACTGCATCTCAACTCCCTAGTTTAACGTACTGCACGTTCAGGGGAACCCCGCAGCACAGAATGGTAGCCTGTGGTTGCCTGTGCTGTTACTATTGAGATGTGTGACAAGAAATCCTAGCCACAAAACAAGTGTATCTGAGTCTTTAGTCTTCTGGTGACTCCGACTCACCAAAAGTGCTGACTGTTTTCCAGGGAGAAAGCCTGCATCATCAGAAAGCCATGATTGGAAGTATACTACAGGGCATCTGTCAAATGTTCCCTATAGTCCAAATGAATTTGTTTGGCCAACAGATAAATCAATACACATCAGCCCCACAAAAGGCAGAAAGGAACAGATTCTTTTGTTCTTAAAAAGAAATTGTAATTTGGAAGTAGCTAAGGAGGAGCAAATCCTAACCAACAACCTATACCACAGCAAGGCCAATTAGGAAGAATTATCCATGGGAGGAAATGATCAGAGGAGAGCTACTGAGAGTAGAAGGAATATTTGATGTGACATTACAATGACTGTAGTACGCTAAACAGAAGGATACTCAGGAATTGCCTAAACCCATGCCACAAGTAAGGGGGGAAGGAGGGGGTGGAGCTCTAGTAATCCCCATCACTACTGCGCATCACTTTTGTGGCAGTGGGTCAATGAAGAATCCCAATCCTTCACTTTCAACAACAGAAGCACGTTCAGAGAGACCTGGTACCATTGAGTACTGGGGTGTTCCTAGGAGACTGCAGTGTTTGGTGAGTGTCTAAAAGTCCCTACCATACTTAAAAGCAAAAAAATTGCATGGAACGAACAACTTAACAGGGTATGATCAAAGGCAGAATGTCTTTATTTTGTATAAACTGCATTTGTCCAATGTCTTGATTTTCCTTAATATCTGTGCCAGCTAGGATAGCTTGTAATGCAACAGTCAATCATGCAACTTGTGGCAGGAGCCCAGAAAGCAAAGAAAAAAAAAAGAGCTCATCTTTCTACTGCAGAAAACAACCTGCCTGACACTTAGATATCAGAATTAGTTATTATACTGGGACCAAAAATGCTCCAGAGGATCTGAATTGCTTTCAAAAGCGGCTGCAACAACCAGAACTCATTGTACAAATAACATGCAATTACACAGCCAAGTCAAATCTCAAGGCACTTTATAATAATTAATGTCAATGTATATAAGTAATTACAACCAAATAAATAGCAAAACAATTTTGAAAAATGGAAATGAGGATTTTTGTTCATTTCCAGAATCATATTAGCCATTCTTGAGGCAACAGTGCAGTCATCTCTGGCATACTGAGCTCCAGGATTAGGAGGCTAACTGCAAGATATGACCAGGGTCAAAGTCATTTTCAGCTTCTAGAAAGTTGCTAGGTTGTGATTAAGTTTCCGTGTTTCCACCTTCATGGTTCTTTGCATAAGGATGCCATTGCCTGTATCTTTCCAATTCCTTCTTTCTGCTTTCTCCCTAAGTACAGTCTTTTCAGTACTCTTTCCTGCTTACTCTCTTTGAGTTAGACTGACTTGGACTACATACAAGAGCATGGAAATCAGAATTTCCTGTATACTCCTACCTTAATCTGGGTGAAGAAGGGTAATCTGACAGTAGTCAGACATGGAGAATGGGTGAGACTAACTGTTTCTACTGCTTGCTGGCCTTCACAGCTGAGGTGGTGAGGGTTTGTTATAATTTGCCTGTGGTAAAGGCCAGAAAGGGCATGGTGCCCTTGCACTCTCCCTCCAATGACCGTGAGCAAAGAAAAAGAATGGAAGAATTGTGACACAAAGGGATATGTCTCAGTTAGAAAGATCAAAGCTTTCAAGGCTATTCTTGCTCAGGGCTGTGCCTAAAGTGAAGATCTAGCCCTTGGGTCTGTTATTTCTGTTCTTGGTCTCTCAGTTTCTTTTACAACTCTTGAAACACTCTTACTCTCCCACTGAGCCTAGCACAGCATTCTTTAAATATACTGCTTTTAGGAGATTGTTGACTTGCATATATGGACAAGTCAGAACAGACACATACTGCTACCTTCCACTGACCTACCTGCTATTTACTGAGCTTAAGTTCCCAGCTAGAAAAAAACTAGAGCAGCCGGCAGGAACAGTTCTAGCCTTAATATTATAGGGATTATGTTTTACTCCTGAGACAGTTTTTTTAACACCCTGGGGGCTAGAAACTAAAAATTGCTATTGGAAGGGGGAAAAAAAGTTACAAATTTTGAGGAAAAAAGTAACTGAAGACCTAATGAGACAATACACTTTATGGATATAACTGAAAATTAAGGAAGGATTATTCTGCTAGAAGACTGGATTTAGGTCATATGTATTGAAAGTAAGTTATCTGATGAAGATGTCTGGTGTATGAGAAAGGAGATTTTAAAGCAATAAAATGTAAATGCTTGAAAATATTATGTGAGTTTCTTCACATTCTTGAAGGAATAGAAGATGGACAGCTTTGAGCATGCTTGCATAATGGATGAGGATGAGTGAGCTACTATTATTATCTAATCCAGCTTCTTCGATCTCCCACTGAGCAGGTAGTCACTTTCTCTCACGAAACTCAGCATTGATGGCTAAAAATTCTGACGGCTTATTCAGATGTTATAATTACAAGTAAAGCTTTTTTTTTTTAATAGAGCCCATGTTTTTTATATGCCTGAAAGGAGCAATATTGGACATGTAGAAGTACATGGGTCTGGACGTGATGCACCTGTGGGTGCTGAGGAAGTTTGCCGCAGAGCTGCTGGCCATTATATTTGAAAACCGTGAAGATCAAGAGAAGTCCTGGACAATTGGAAAAGAGCAAATTTACTGTACATCTTT